CAGGAATTAAGGAGTAGAGATGTATTGTCAGTTGTTGACATTTACCGCAAGACAGCCCTTGATAAGTACATCAGTCTCAGCCAAGCTATTTTCTTGTTGGAATCAACTAATTACAGTTGAAAGTAAATGGAACGTTTTCACTTATTTTCAAATTTTAAGGTAAGATCAGATAGGGACTTTGATGTGAGTGAAAGTTGCATCTGAAACTGGAGAAAGCAACGTGTCCCTCCCCCCCACCCCAGCAAAGTAGTGGTCACCAGTGTGCTCTTTGTGGGCAGAATGCAAAATTTCTTCTCCTGTAAATGAGAGGTGGCAATTTGTGATGTCAAATGAAATGTACCGCCACGGTGGTCTAGCGGTTAGAACGCTGGCCTTGTAATCCTGGGGTCCCGGGTTTGATTCCCGGCGGTGCCCGAATTTATAACTTTTGTTGGGCAAGGCTATGGTCTAGGCAACACAGAGTTTTCCTCCGGGGCTTCCCCGGTTTCTCCGTGGCATCCCAACAATTACTCCATACACACAGAAGAAGGCAATGGCAAACCACTTCTGTATCACCTGCCTAAAAACATATGAACAGGTCCCAGTCCGAGGAAAGGATGGAAGGATCCTGTTCATAATATGTCGCCAATCTCTTGTAAAGGAGGTGTAATAAAGAAGAAGAAATGAAATGTGCTGCTTGAAGACACTGGAAATTGCAGAAATACTTGAAGTCCAGACCTTTAATATAAGCTGATATTTCACAAAGGCTTTCTAATGCGTACAAAGAAAAACTCTTGGTATTTAAAAAGCACCTGTGCCATAGTTTGAGACACTGATGGTGACAAGACAGCTGTGACGCATACTTGTAACTGGTAATTGTTATCAAGATATTGTAGTTTTTATTGATATTTGTGGTATTATGGTTTTATCAGTGTGTCCTTGTGTATATTTCTGGTTGTGTTAATATAATCCATCGGTTTTTGGTTTGTTGTGTTAATTTAATTTTAATAATCTATTCTTATTAATGGAGAGTGTCTTATTTGGGAGCAAATGGTATTAGAATTAGTACAGTATTTGTTCCACTTTGATTTATATGGCACTTCATGTGAACTCTGTGAGTACAGAAATTTTTTGGTATTTGCATGGGAACTTGAAGAGACATTTAATTTTAAATAATCTTTTATTTTTAATCCTTATAATGTCCTGTAACTAATTAGTTTTTTTTACAAGACTTTGTAAGATATGTTATTGTGGCTGATTTTCCACTTGTGGAACGTTATCGAGTGGTGGCATTATTATGTAGCGGAACATGGAACATGGTGACATTTCTCCACAATTTCAGTTAGACTGCCCAGGAATCTTCAAGAGTAAACAACAGTGGAAGTATAAAAATGTTGTCTCTTTGTAAATATCGGCAAACTACTTGGCATATCAGTTGCAGTGAAAGTCTTGGCCATACTTTGTTGAAAACATATCAGGTTTAAGTTCTTGATAGCAGTTCAAGTCATGCAGTCAAATCTGTAGTCACATGCATTTTCAATTACTAGTGGAATCATTATCAATTTCCTGGAATTGTGATGTCACCCACATGCCAAGCTGTTTGTTTATTACAGTAGTATTAAGTTAAAACCTGTACAGTTAATATGTGGAGTCTGCAGTGGCCGCGCGGTCTGAGGCGTGAGCCTTCTGCCGCTTGGTCGCTGGGACCATGGGTTCGAATCCCACTCAAGCCATGGATGTTTGTCCGCATTTTTCTGTCGTGCTGTCCTGTGTACAGGTAGAGGCCTTGCGACGGGCTGATCCCTCGTCCAAGGAGTCCTACCGAATGTCTATAGATCTAGCCAACGAAAAGTTGGGACCTGTAGTGCTCAGGCACTTGAAGAACAGGTCGTCCAAGTATCCAGTACAGTTAATATGTTTTATTTTTTAAACATGCTTTCAATTTGGACATTGAATCCTCTCAGCATGTAAGTTGGATATGTTTTTGTTTCAAAGTGAATATTTCATGCAAGATAGATATTTCCTTTGTTCTGTTTTTGCTTTTCCATTCTCTTAGTCGCATTACCATAAAGTTTATTAATCATCTTGAGATCAAGCATCCTTTTGTTTTTATGCTATGGTATTTTAACCGTCTATACAGCTGTGTCAATCGGATAATTAAATTAAATCAAATCGTCATTTATGACTATGTGTTTTGACAATTACAATTTTATCATCTATTTATCATTACGAGTTTATTTACTGGAGAGTGTATAATCATAGGTCAAAGGTAAATTACAGTGGTTTTCATTTTACTTGCAAGCAGTTTTGAATTTTAAAATTTTTGAAGACCAAATTAGTATTTGAGGTTTTCATGGTGGTCAATTTGAAGATGGCCAACTTCTGGGTTGTGGCATCGTGTAGTCTGGTAGAAGTTTACAAACATTTTAGTGACCCTTGTCACCGTGATGGAGGCAGCAACAACCCAACTACAAAGCTTCAACCCAGAAAACAGCCATCTTTGTAAAGACCCGTTCTTAGCTTTTTATGTGCTGTTGTAGATGATTGGGTTCTGTAATGAAAATAAATTGTATTGTAACAAATATAACAAATGTTAAGTGAAATCTTATTGTAGGGTGGAGAGTCATATGTAGAGTGTACTTGTACTTGAAGGTGGACTTCACAAATTTTAAAATTCAAAGTTGCATGTAAGTAAAATCATCACTGTATTTGATCTTCTACCAATCTAACCTTTGTGCGTAATACTGTGTCTTGGTTTTGCAGATTCTATTAGAATCTTAAGATCATTCCACCCACTTCTGTGTTAGCAGCTGCAGCTTCAGTCTGGCCTTAGAATGTATTTTGCTTGTGTCTTGTGTTCTGTGACAGAGCTTACTGATTTTATGCAATATTGACACCATGTACTGGATCCACCTAGGTGCAATATCTATTAGTGTTATTCTTCCACGTAATTTATTTACCCCAGCATTTGTATACTGCCTGATGATGACTTTGGAACTATCAAAATGTTATGGTTATTGCTAAAGTAATTACATTCAGTGACTTCTGATAATCAAGTTTCCGTCGATTATAGATAGGGTAAGCATAACCAGTGGACTGCTGCATGTGGCTCTTTAAAGACAGCACTAATATAGAAATACGAGGGGCAGTCAAAATGTTCCCGGAATTGTGGTATAGCACTGTAATGGTGGGACATATGGCAACGCTTACCTAATCACCTTCAAAGTAGGACCCTTGCGCACACACACACTTGCTCCATCGATCCTGCCATTGTTGGAAACACCGGCGGAAGGCTTCGTTTGGAATCTTCCGGAGTTCGGCCGTCACATTCGATTTGATGTCCTCCATGGTTGCGAAACGCGTCCCCTTGAGGCCCATTTTCAGAGTAGGGAGCAGCCAGAAGTCACTCGGAGCGAGATCTGGAGAGTATGGTGGTTGGGTGATGACGGGAATGCTTTTCTCGGCGAGAAATTGCTGCACAACCAGCGATGTGTCGAATGTGATGGCCGAACTCCGGAAGATTCCAAACGAAGCCTTCCGCCGGTGCTTCCAAAAATGGCAGAATTGATGGAGCAAGTGTGTGTGCGCGCAAGGGTCCTACTTTTAAGGTGATTAGGTAAGCGTTGCCATATGTCCTACCATTACAGTGCTATACCACAATTCCAGGGACTTTTTGACTGCCCCACGTATATAGGAATTCCACAATTCTGAGTATGAGCCTTGGATGAAAGAGAGACATTTGTTTATTTAAATGATAACTTTGTAATTCCAACACAAAATACTTTATATCATCATTTGTAGATCATAAATTTTGTATTATAATACATAAGTTCATTGTGTGTTGTCTTAAGCTGTGCATGTGTGAAAATGTGCAGACAAGCAAGATTTGTGGTTTCGTGTTATGCTGCATCATATGAATATAAATTATAGCAGTTTAGTGTGTAACATCACATTTCTTACTGTGTATAATCTCTGTGACTTTTTAGCCATCTCCGCTCTTCAGTAAGATCGAGCCAGCTAGAGTGGATAGGCTCAAACAGCAGTTTTCCGGGCGACAGAAATCTCGATCACCAGACCAAAATACTGCTGCTAAATCAGCGCCTCCTCCAGTGAATGTGGCCACCAATCAAATGCAGGCAGATGCGTCTGTAATTTCCAAGTTATCAGCTGCTGTTGCGCAACAGGTATGGAAGCAGAGTGCGTTGTTTAAGGCGTGAAGTCATTTGTTTCTGGAAAATTTTATTGCAGATATTTAATAAGATTGTGGCAGTCATTTCTCACTGCTGCTTGTAGACATGTCCTGAAAGCCCAGGAATTCTTTATAATTAACAAACTTGTATTGTCTGCGATTGTGTCCGGTGTTTTGAGCGTATCGCAGTCACGTCTGTGGAGTAGGGAAGATGTCGCAAGGCTCACGATTCCATATCGAACATCGGCTGAGTCGGAAGTAACATTTTCATGTAATGTCACATGTTTAACATTTCCAGGCAACAACGGTGTATGGATTATGGTATTTAGTGGTGCATCTTGCTTAGCGACATGTCACAGTCCGCTTCAGAAAACGATTCCCGTCATTACAGTTGTTTTGTGCGTGTGTCCACATGTTTCTAGTTTTGATCAAATGATAATAATTTTAATAAAATATAAATTGCATTGATCCTGTTTTTCGATTATCTGGGCTCCCGCTTCCCCCGTTTACTATGAGTAATCAGCGCTCTACTGTTATCGGTAAGAATTAAATAATATGTCGGAATAAAAGGTAAGGAGATTACAAAGCGTCTAGTAATGTGGAATAAGGTTTGAAATTCAAATGGCAAAAAGTGCTTTCTGCGTTATGTTTAATGATGACTGAAGTAAAGTATTCATTTGGACAGACTAAAGGATTTTGTTCACAGGCTGAACTAGTACACAAGATGAAGGCAAGTGGAGCAGCGCGCTCTATCTGGCAGCCTCACGTTGCAGTGTTGATGGAGTTGAAGCAACAGTTGGCGTCTGCTCAGATTTTTAACGGTGGTCTGAATGAAGTCGGTGCCGCTACTTCAAACGGATTACAGGCGACTAATCTGGCTGATGTGGCTCGACTTGAGGCAGAGATCGTGAAGCAGGTACGTGTGCCTGGGATATCAACTTTGAGTTAAGCGGACGGTAGCAGGAAGCAGTAGCGAAGGGGAGACGAGTACTTTAGCAAGCGCAAATAGCAAAAGAAACCATTGCTCGGGATATTTTAGGTTAGGGTAGGGTATGATGTTTGTCTTGTTGGTCGCATGTGATTTTGGAACCAAGGGTATGATGTTTGTCTTGTTGGTCGCACGTGATTATGGAACCATAATCTGGAGTGTGCACGTCGCAGTGTGAACGTGGCATTGCTATTTGTGTTACCTGTAGTATTCATTACCACTTCCTCTTTCTGTGGAAACATCCGCCTTTCACTGCCTCGTGAATGTGGCAACATTGCTGCAGTTTTTTTTATTGTAGACGATGGCTTGTCCTAGGTAAAAATTCTGACACCGGAGGCTGGAAACACGTCATTTGCAGCAACTTTTCCCTCTCTGCGTTTTCACGTACTTTGCCGCTAACCGAGTTCTTTCGTGGCCTCAGACTTGTGGGAAATTCTGTATAACTATTTATTTGCTAGTTGTTTTTGGAAACTGTACTTTGGTTTCTGATATAATGCAAAGTCATATGAAGCATTTTTTTATAATTTCAGAAATATAATTTGTGATATGATATGCATTTTTTACCCTGTTATAAAGTATAATACTTGGGAATTCTGCTTCTGAGTAACGAAAGAGTAAATTGTAATTGTTTTTTGTATCACGTGATGGTTTTTTATATTTGGCGCCTGCCAGATTACAAAACATGACAAGGAAGACGTAATTCGTGATTATTTGCCCTTGTATTAATGAACCTAGGTGTATGTTTATTACTTTTGCTCCTGAAGAATGCGTGATTTTCTATGTTATTTGACAGGGAGACCTCATTCGCCAGATGAAGTTGCGTGGTGTGTCCAAGAGTGAGTGGCAGCCCGAGCTGAACGTCTTGCTGAGCCTGAAGTCTGAGCTGGCTGCCGCTCAAGGTTCTCCTCTACCTCCTAAAGGCAAGAGCAAAGG